AAATGTTGAAAGCCATTAAATTTTCATTTTTGCTGTGTTTCTTTTTTGTTCTCTAGACCTGTCATAGTTTGCGCTCAAATTGTTGGATTCAAGGAATGCCTATCTCTCAGCCCTTTTATTCATTCACGGAATGATCGGGCTGTAGGGCCCTGCTGCCTACCACCCTGTCTGGAAAGTCTTTCAGCGTTAGGCTCATGCCCACCATATGCACTCCTCTCCCCTCCTGAGGGCACACTTTGGTACTTAGCCCGATACTTGTAGCGTTTCTCTCGTTTTCTGTGTTTGGGTCTTGTGCTTCTGCTTAAACATTTTAGGAGCTAAGTCCATGATTTAGATTTGTTCTACATTCCTTTGAGCTCACAGTGAGTTTTCAGTGTATACCTGATCATTAAGTAGGATAATAATACAGGACAAGCCTTTGGTCAAGGATGACGGAATTGATTTCTAGCTCTGCCACCTGGGGAAAGTCAGGAGCTATTGTTGCCTCACTGATAACTGAGGATCATAAAACCTGCAGTGGTTGTCCAATAGTCAGTTGTGGGAGTCAAAATAAATGAGAAGTGAGTAGAGATATGAATGAAAATGTGTTTATTGTAAAGAACTTAAATGTAAAGGGTTGTGATTGATTCGGACATACAGCAAACCTTTGCTGAGCAGCCATAGTGTGTTAGGTACTTCCTGGGTCTTGGGGTTGCTATGCAACAGTAGGAAATGACCCGATGGATTGAGTGTGAGGGCAGGAAGGCTTCCTAGGTAGAGGGCAGCCTGGGCAGAGGCCCGGATGCGTGAGAACAGCTCTTACTAGCAGTTCACTGAGGCTGGAGCAGAGAGAACTTAGGTTTCAGCTCTTATTGGACCTCACCCATTTGCTCAGATACCTAGCTAGACTGCATAAAGAAGCCAACTTAATATTTTAGCACACTTTGTTAACTCTACTTTTACTCAAATGTTAGTTTTTAGAATGTTATTCAGTAAAGAAAAATAATCAGAGCACTAAGTGTGGCCCAATCACTTGAAATTCTAGCAAAACCCTTGATTTATAAACTTATATGTGGGGAGTGGTAAATCATTATGATACATAAGCATTGATTGAGCTTGCAAAGTCTTCTGTATAGAAGTCTAAAACCTTTTAAATTACCAGTAGAATGTAGAATTCTTAAAAAAAAATAATTGGTTAGTCAAGCTGTATTTGGTATGAATCAATATTGAGTTAAAAGTGAATTTTTTTATTTGAGTGTTTTTTAAAAGCTCATTAATTTGATTTACTTTAAAAAAAAGTCAACTTGTTAGAAGTCTAGAAATAAGGTTTTAAAAATAAATTCTGAATTTTTACCTTACCTGCTCAAGAAAGGTTTTAAGTAGATACTAGAAACCAAATAAGATGTGCTTTTGGGGTCTCTGAGCCAATTAAAACAAAGGCAAACAAAAAAGTAACCTTCTAAAAGTGAAAAGTCTCCGTAATAATAAGTCTATTGTTTCAATTAAAGCATACCACGCCTGGGAGATAAAGTTTACATATAAGTATTTGACTATAGCTCCATGTAGGTGATTACAACCATGTTTTTCAAAGTTTTTTAATGTTTTTCCTTCCACACAAGAACTACACGTTAGCTGTTGTGTGGCGTGTCTTCCGACCGCCCCGCCTGCTGTCCCACAGGGTCACGGACTTCCTCAGCCTGCAGTGTTGTGAATCAGCGTACAGTGTGGGTGAGTGGACACTGTACCCTCAGCGGGGTGAGCTGAGAACAGACTGACAGGCTTTGAGCACCTGCTCTACCCTTGCTCAGCTGCTGGAAGCTGGATAAACCAACTAAACCTCGGCAGGCTGAAATGCCCTCCTTTGAAAAATGGAAATAATAAAATAAAGCCTCATGGGCCCTTCAAAGTTTAAGTGAGATAATCCACATAAAGTGCTTAAGTACTTCTAGCTTCAGGCACCCAGGGAGCACTCTAGAAAGACTACATGGTAGAATTCTCATTATTGTTGCAGTTCTCACTCCTATTAGTCCAGCTATGGTAACAAGGTAGAAGCATGCTTCTCAGAGAGTGGTCTGCGAACCTGGGCCAGTCCACAGGCTGTTTGGGGTTTGCAGTGAGATAAGGACCTTGTGCCAGAATATAAACAGACTGTGGCACCAATCATATTGTTTAGGTCAGCTGATGTTTTTAATAGCAAGACCTCTGCAGTGAAGGAAGCAGTGAGTTGATTTACGTTCGTGTGCAAGCTCATCTTGCCACAGACAAGCACTTTGACTAGAATTGGCATGGAGTATTGGACCACTGATCCCGTTCTCAAAAAAAAAATAACAGCCCTTTATCCTGTAGACAGTTATCATTCACTTGTAATGCCTCATTAACCTTCTCTCTGCTACGTTCAATAGTTCAGCAAATATTTATTGACCACACCGCCTGTGCAGAGCCCTATATCTTACTTTGTAGAACTTGCAAAAATG